TAACCATGGGAATGCGAAGAAGCTTCTCAAACAGGATCAAGGCTTTTTCTTAGATAAGGGAACATATTGTGGTGCTTCCTGTAACTAGAAGCTAACAATGGGTGTTGATTTTATCCCTCCAGTAATTAGTCATCAACATATTGTGGTGCTTCCTGTAACTAGGAGCATTACATCGCGCCTATTGTGGTGTTTCCTGTAACTTGGAGCATTGCATCAAGGGTGTTAATTTAATCCCACCAGTAATACGTCGTAATGCTTGGTTGTGTGTCTTCTCGAGCGGTTTATGAGTCACCTCTGTAACTGTAATGAGTGGGTCACAGCAATAAAACATTATTGGCTGAATAAACATCTTGTTAAGTGGTCCTAGAGTTGAGCGCTACAGGCCCCATTGGCTACCAGCAAGACGCTTAAGTACATTCAGTCTATTGGAGAGGTACTAGCAAGACGCTTCAGTACATTCAATCTATTGGAGACTCGTTCTGGTATTTTAGCAATGCGACTTTTCCACATTAGCTTTGTGTCAAACGTCATTCTGAGATAAGTGAACTCATTGGTTTTTTCTATGGTAGTATCCTTGTACCTTAAAAGCGGGTTTATGCTGTGATGGGCCAAAGAAAATGTTTGGAATGCAGTTTTTGCAGTGTTGATTATCATTCAATTGTTGTCGCACCAGTTTGCTAGTAGCTTAATTGCACTATTAAGAGCACTTTCTGTTCTCTCCTGAGCGTTTTTCTTATGGGCGGAATACCATAGTACCAGACCATCTGCGTAAAGTAAGCACTTGATGCCCGAGACTATCTGTACCAATTCGGCAATATCATTGATGAAGACATTGAAAAGAGTGCAGCTTGTGACAGCTCCCTATGGAAAACCTGTTTGTAAAAGATTGGTTTTTGTTAGTGCATTTCCGTCTCTGACTTTACACGATCTTTGTCCAATAAATGGTGTTTTCCAGTTTAGCATGTTATGCTTAATACCAATCTTTGAAAATTTTTGAATTAGATTCTCTTTCCATACTAAGTCATATGCTGATTTGAAATCGACGAAAACAGCCGCAAGGGTATTTCTTGCATCAAGGGCATCTTTGATGTGTTGGGAGAAAGTGGCTACTTGTTGGTTCGTTGATCTTTGTGGCCTAAAAAGTGCCTGTTCACTGCTAAGAATATTGTTGGTCTCAAGAAACCAGGTCAGCTTCGTGTTACACATTCTTTGCATAAGTTTATCCAGCACGCTTGTGTGGGAGATAGGCCTATAGTTGACAAAGTTGCTAGGGTCTTTTTTGTCAAAGTTGCTAGGTTCTTTGCCCTTTTTTAGTACTGATCAAAGTTGCTAGGGTCTTTGCCCTTTTTTAGTACTGGTATTATTATGGCAACTTCCCATTGGTTTGGTACAAGGCTGGTCTCCCAGATTTTGTTGTTAAGCGTCAGCATGGTTTCCTTGGCTGTTGGTCCCATTCTAATTAGAAATTCTGGATGAATACCGTCTTCGCCAGGAGACTTCTTGCACTTTAGCTGATTTATCGCAGCATTAAGTTCGCAAGGTCGGAATGGTTCAATAAGTACATTATGTGGTGTTGCTATGTCTTCCTTAATTTCACCAAACTGTCTTACTTGTATCTTTAAATCTCTTGAAGATTTTCTGACAAAAGGGTTTTTCTTTTGCTTGTGGGAATAGAACCTCGCAAAGCAGTTAGCAATTTTGGTGTCGATGGTAAGCAATTTGCTGTTTAAATGTATTGGTTCTTTCTTGGGTCCTTCTCTGTTGATTTGTAGGTTTCTCAGAAATTTGAAAGTGCGTTGGCTATCAGCAGGTTTTTCAGAAATTTGAAAGTGCGTTGGCTATCACTTTCCAGAAATTTGAAAGTGCGTTGGCTATCACTTTGATAGTTGATAATTTGAGATGAACTTGTCGAAGGAAGTACGTTTAGCTTGTTGTTTGCCTTAGGACAGCTGATTGTCGTCTCCAGGCTTGTACTCTTAGGACATCTGATTGTCGTCTCCAGGCTTTTACATCTTCCGTTCGTCCAGTCTGATCAGCAGTGTTGCGAAGGGATCCCTCTTTAGCTTCCTCAAGGTGCCTAGACCAAAACACTCGATAGTGTTTATATTTGCCTCGGGGAATAGTTTTCTTTGCACATCTGATCATATGGGAATAGTTTTCTTAGCACATCTGATCATAATATTCGTGATATTGTTTAGACCAAAACACTCGATAGTGTTTAGTCTTGCCTCGGGGAAGAGTTTTCCTCGCACATCAGTTCATAATATTCGTTATATCAGTACAAAGTTTGTCAGAATGTTGGTTGAAGTTGAGGGGACATGTGCGAAGTTCATTGTCTAAAAGGTTAGTGATTCTAGACCAGTCAGCCTTCTTTGGCACTTTGCTTGACATGCTTTTGCTGCAGATGGTAATACTAGCAATGACTTGTTTGTGACCAGAACCAGAATTCTCAATTATTTTGCGGCGTGTATGCTCGCTGATGTCGCTTGAAGCCAAGAATAAATCAGGAGTTGTTCCTGTTCCATNGTAGAGCAAATATGTAGCCGGATCGTCATTGCTGTAAATAGGTTCCAGATGGTTGCTGTTTAGCATGTCTTCAATTTCCTTTCCAGCTATATTTGCTGTTTAGCATGTCTTCAATTTCCTTTCCAGCTATATTTGCGTCCTTGTAGCCCCATCTGGTGGAATGTGCGTTGAAGTCTTCTAATACTATAGTTTTGTGTGAGATGCTCAGAAAGTCAAAGTGTGGACAATTCTGGGGTGGATTATGGACTGCATATATCTTG